AGCACATTTTTGACAAAATGGAACCGAGGGTCCAGCAGTGTGAGGAGACCAAAAGTCATGGCACATGGCTGATGGTTAGTATTGGCTGTCGATGGAGACAGCAGCAATGGGATTTGGCCAAGGTACAGGGACTCCCATGAGACCTGTGGACCTGGCAGCAGCATACATGAGGAGGTGCGGTCTGGGCCCATGGCTGTAGGGGCCTCCTCCAGCTAGCAATGGGATGCCCTCCTGCTGCCAGCACTCCTGTCCGCTGAGTGGAAAAACCACCCATTTCACTCAATAATTCCTGAGCACCAATGTCCTCCTCTACCTCCTCCTCTTCTTCCTGTCCTGCCCCCACAGGGGTCATGTGGCGTTGAGATCTGTGCCCACGTCTACCGCACCCTGACCAGCCATTGTTAACAGCATTTGTTCCAGGACATGCAACAGAGGAATGACGTCGTTCATCCCATAGACCCATGCCGACTCACTGTGGAATAGCGTGGCCTCCTCAAAGGGCCTGAGCAAGCGGCCCAGGTGTCAGGGGCATGAGCTGCAATGGGCTGCCCATCTAAGTTACACAGGGGAGTACCTTTATGCTTGTAACAGCAGTGGAGGAGATCTGAAAGTGGCACATGGCGCTGTTCGAAGGGGTCAGCATATGTAGGGTTGAATTACCACCATGAGCACTGTGGACCTGGCAGCAGCATGAGGAGGTAGGTACGGGGGCCCATGGCAGATTACGGGCCTGGCAGCAGCAATGGGAGGCCCGTAATCTGCCAGCACCCTATGACAAAATGGAACCCAGCAGCAGTGTGAGGAGACCTGAAAGTGGCACATGGCAGAGTGTGTGGCGATGGAGACAGTACAGGGACCCATGAGACACTGTGGACCTGGCAGCAGCATGAGGAGGCGGTACAGGGGCCCATGGCAGATTAGGGGCCTGGCAGCAGCAATGGGAGGCCCGTAATCTGCCAGCAACCTATGACAAAATGGAACCCAGCAGCAGTGTGAGGAGACCTGAAAGTGGCACATGGCAGAGTGTGGCGATGGAGACAGCAGCAATGGGAGGCCGTACAGGGACCCATGAGACACTGTGGACCTGGCAGCAGCATGAGGAGGGCGGTACAGGGGCCCATGGCAGATTAGGGGCCTGGCAGCAGCAATGGGAGGCCCGTAATCTGCCAGCACTCTATGACAAAATGGAACCAGCAGCAGCAGTGTGAGGAGACCTGAAAGTGGCACATGGCAGAGTGTGGCGATGGAGACAGCAGCAATGGGAGGCCGTACAGGGACCCATGAGACACTGTGGACCTGGAGCAGCAGCATGAGGAGGCGGTACAGGGGCCCATGGCAGATTAGGGGCCTGGCAGCAGCAATGGGAGGCCCGTAATCTGCCAGCACCCTATGACAAAATGGAACCCAGCAGCAGTGTGAGGAGACCTGAAAGTGGCACATGGCAGAGTGTGGCGATGGAGACAGCAGCAATGGGAGGCCGTACAGGGACCCATGAGACACTGTGGACCTGGCAGCAGCATGAGGAGGCGGGTACAGGGGCCCATGGCAGATTAGGGGCCTGGCAGCAGCAATGGGAGGCCCGTAATCTGCCAGCACCAGCACCCTATGACAAAATGGAACCCAGCAGCAGTGTGAGGAGACCTGAAAGTGGCACATGGCAGAGTGTGGCGATGGAGACAGCAGCAATGGGAGGCCGTACAGGGACCCATGAGACACTGTGGACCTGGCAGCAGCATGAGGAGGCGGTACAGGGGCCCATGGCAGATTAGGGGCCTGGCAGCAGCAATGGGAGGCCCGTAATCTGCCAGCACTCTATGACAAAATGGAACCCAGCAGCAGTGTGAGGAGACCTGAAAGTGGCACATGGCAGAGTGTGGCGATGGAGACAGCAGCAATGGGAGGCCGTACAGGGACCCATGAGACACTGTGGACCTGGCAGCAGCATGAGGAGGCGGTACAGGGGCCCATGGCAGATTAGGGGCCTGGCAGCAGCAATGGGAGGCCCGTAATCTGCCAGCACCTATGACAAAATGGAACCCAGCAGCAGCAGTGTGAGGAGACCTGAAAGTGGCACATGGCAGTGGTGTGGCGATGGAGACAGCAGCAATGGGAGGCCGTACAGGGGACCCATGACACTGTGGACCTGGCAGCAGCATGAGGAGGCGGTACAGGGGCCCATGGCAGATTAGGGGCCTGGCAGCAGCAATGGGAGGCCCGTAATCTGCCAGCACCCTATGACAAAATGGAACCCAGCAGCAGTGTGAGGAGACCTGAAAGTGGCACATGGCAGAGTGTGGCGATGGAGACAGCAGCAATGGGAGGCCGTACAGGGACCCATGAGACACTGTGGACCTGGCAGCAGCATGAGGAGGCGGGTACAGGGGCCCATGGCAGATTAGGGGCCTGGCAGCAGCAATGGGAGGCCCGTAATCTGCCAGCACCCTATGACAAAATGGAACCCAGCAGCAGTGTGAGGAGACCTGAAAGTGGCACATGGCAGAGTGTGGCGATGGAGACAGCAGCAATGGGAGGCCGTACACAGGGACCCATGAGACACTGTGGACCTGGCAGCAGCATGAGGAGGCGGTACAGGGGCCCATGGCAGATTAGGGGCCTGGCAGCAGCAATGGGAGGCCCGTAATCTGCCAGCACCCTATGACAAAATGGAACCCAGCAGCAGTGTGAGGAGTGTGAGGAGACCTGAAAGTGGCACATGGCAGAGTGTGGCGATGGAGACAGCAGCAATGCAATAGGCCGTACAGGGACCCATGAGACACTGTGGACCTGGCAGCAGCATGAGGAGGCGGTACAGGGGCCCATGGCAGATTAGGGGCCTGGCAGCAGCAATGGGAGGCCCGTAATCTGCCAGCACCCTATGACAAAAAATGGAACCCAGCAGCAGTGTGAGGAGACTGAAAGTGGAAAGTGGCACATGGCAGAGTGTGGCGATGGAGACAGCAGCAATGGGAGGCCGTACAGGGACCCATGAGACACTGTGGACCTGGCAGCAGCATGAGGAGGCGGTACAGGGGCCCATGGCAGATTAGGGGCCTGGCAGCAGCAATGGGAGGAGGCCCGTAATCTGCCAGCACCCTATGACAAAATGGAACCCAGCAGCAGTGTGAGGAGACCTGAAAGTGGCACATGGCAGAGTGTGGCGATGGAGACAGCAGCAATGGGAGGCCGTACAGGGACCCATGAGACACTGTGGACCTGGCAGCAGCATGAGGAGGCGGTACAGGGGCCCATGGCAGATTAGGGGCCTGGCAGCAGCAATGGGAGGCCCGTAATCTGCCAGCACCCTATGACAAAATGGAACCCAGCAGCAGTGTGAGGAGACCTGAAAGTGGCACATGGCAGAGTGTGGCGATGGAGACAGCAGCAATGGGAGGCCGTACAGGGACCCATGAGACACTGTGGACCTGGCAGCAGCATGAGGAGGCGGTACAGGGGCCCATGGCAGATTAGGGGCCTGGCAGCAGCAATGGGAGGCCCGTAATCTGCCAGCACCCTATGACAAAATGGAACCCAGCAGCAGTGTGAGGAGACCTGAAAGTGGCACATGGCAGAGTGTGGCGATGGAGACAGCAGCAATGGGAGGCCGTACAGGGACCCATGAGACACTGTGGACCTGGCAGCAGCATGAGGAGGCGGTACAGGGGCCCATGGCAGATTAGGGGCCTGGCAGCAGCAATGGGGAGGCCCGTAATCTGCCAGCACCTATGACAAAATGGAACCCAGCAGCAGTGTGAGGAGACCTGAAAGTGGCACATGGCAGAGTGTGGCGATGGAGACAGCAGCAATGGGAGGCCGTACAGGGACCCATGAGACACTGTGGACCTGGCAGCAGCATGAGGAGGCGGTACAGGGGCCCATGGCAGATTAGGGGCCTGGCAGCAGCAATGGGAGGCCCGTAATCTGCCAGCACCTATGACAAAATGGAACCCAGCAGCAGTGTGAGGAGACCTGAAAGTGGCACATGGCAGAGTGTGGCGATGGAGACAGCAGCAATGGGAGGCCGTACAGGGACCCATGAGACACTGTGGACCTGGCAGCAGCATGAGGAGGAGGCGGTACAGGGGCCCATGGCAGATAGGGGCCTGGCAGCAGCAATGGGAGGCCCGTAATCTGCCAGCACCCTATGACAAAATGGAACCCAGCAGCAGTGTGAGGAGACCTGAAAGTGGCACATGGCAGAGTGTGGCGATGGAGACAGCAGCAATGGGAGGCGGGCCGTACAGGGACCCATGAGACACTGTGGACCTGGCAGCAGCATGAGGAGGCGGTACAGGGGCCCATGGCAGATTAGGGGCCTGGCAGCAGCAATGGGAGGCCCGTAATCTGCCAGCACCCTATGACAAAATGGAAACCCAGCAGCAGTGTGAGGAGACCTGAAAGTGGCACATGGCAGAGTGTGGCGATGGAGACAGCAGCAATGGGAGGCCGCCGTACAGGGACCCATGAGACACTGTGGACCTGGCAGCAGCATGAGGAGGCGGTACAGGGGCCCATGGCAGATTACGGGCCTGGCAGCAGCAATGGGAGGCCCGTAATCTGCCAGCACCCTATGACAAAAATGGAACCCCAGCAGCAGTGTGAGGAGACCTGAAAGTGGCACATGGCAGAGTGTGGCGATGGAGACAGAGACAGCAGCAATGGGAGGCCGTACAGGGACCCATGAGACACACTGGACCTGGCAGCAGCATGAGGAGGCGGTAGGGGGCCCATGGCAGATTAGGGGCCTGGCAGCAGCAATGGGAGGCCCGTAATCTGCCAGCACCTATGACAAAATGGAACCCAGCAGCAGTGTGAGGAGACCTGAAAGTGGCACATGGCAGAGTGTGGCGATGGAGACAGCAGCAATGGGAGGCCGTACAGGGACCCATGAGACACTGTGGACCTGGCAGCAGCATGAGGAGGCGGTACAGGGGCCCATGGCAGATTAGGGGCCTGGCAGCAGCAATGGGAGGCCCGTAATCTGCCAGCACCCTATGACTATGACAAAATGGAACCCAGCAGCAGTGTGAGGAGACCTGAAAGTGGCACATGGCAGAGTGTGGCGATGGAGACAGCAGCAATGGGAGGCCGTACAGGGACCCATGAGACACTGTGGACCTGGCAGCAGCATGAGGAGGGCGGTACAGGGGCCCATGGCAGATTAGGGGCCTGGCAGCAGCAATGGGAGGCCCGTAATCTGCCAGCACCCTATGACAAAATGGAACCCAGCAGCAGTGTGAGGAGACCTGAAAGTGGCACATGGCAGAGTGTGGCGATGGAGAGACAGCAGCAATGGGAGGCCGTACAGGGACCCATGAGACACTCTGGACCTGGCAGCAGCATGAGGAGGCGGTACAGGGGGCCCATGGCAGATTAGGGGCCTGGCAGCAGCAATGGGAGGCCCGTAATCTGCCAGCACCCTATGACAAAATGGAACCCAGCACCAGCAGTGTGAGGAGACCTGAAAGTGGCACATGGCAGAGTGTGGCGATGGAGACAGCAGCAATGGGAGGCCGTACAGGGACCCATGAGACACTGTGGACCTGGCAGCAGCATGAGGAGGCGGTACAGGGGCCCATGGCAGATTAGGGGCCTGGCAGCAGCAATGGGAGGCCGTAATCTGCCAGCACCCTATGACAAAATGGAACCCAGCAGCAGTGTGAGGAGACCTGAAAGTGGCACATGTTTGGGGCATGATTCATGGCGGATTTAGTCAGTTGTGTCAGGAACTGGTGGTTTGAAATCCAGACTAATCCACGCCTGATTCATTTTCACAAACGTGAGTCTCTCCACACTTTGGGTGGACAGTCGTGTCCTCCGCGGAGTTACAATACCTCCTGCCGCACTAAACACGCGCTCCGATGCCACGCTACTGGCCGGGCATGACAGCCTTTCAAGGGCAAATTCAGCTAGTTGGGGCCAAAGGTCAAGTTTCGTTGCCCAGTAGTCAAGGGGATTGTCTACCTCGGTTGGCAGGGTGCTGTCCAAGTAGGCCCAAGCCTGTTGTTTGAGGTCCTGCTCCAGGTCCACCTGATGCTGCTGCTGCTGCTGCGGCTGGTTAGTAGTTTCCTCACTGCGCTGGTGAAGAAAGCTACTCATCATCGACTGCAGACTGAGGCAGCCGCTGCTGGTGGAGCTGCCACTGCTCCTACCACCCCACCCCTCCCCTGCTGCCATGGCAGCGGAACGCGAGCGCACAGGGCCCACAGTGTCTGAGGATGGACGTTGGCGCAGAAAGGCAGAGACCAACTGACTACATAGGTGGTTTTTATAGTACGTTATTGGCCTCCCTCTCAGCAGGTGTGAAAAAGGCCACCATTTTTTGAACGGTAGCGAGGGTCCAACAAGGTGGACAGCCAAAAGTCATCCCTCTGTCTGATGGTTATTATTCGGGCTGTCGCTACGCAAGCAACCGAGCATGCTATGGGCCATTTGTGCCAAGGAATGCGAGGGACTCCCTGCCTCCATCTCCACAGCATACTGCCACGGTGCGTCTGGGTCCTCTGTCTCCTCCTCCTCCTCCTCTACCAGATGCTCCTGCTCCTCCACTCCTGTCCGCTGAGTGGAAAAAAAACCACCCATTTCACTCAATAATTCCTGAGCACCAATGTCCTCCTCTACCTCCTCCTCTTCTTCCTGTCCTGCCCCCACAGGGGTCATGTGGCGTTGAGATCTGTGCGCCACGTCTACCGCACCCCCTGACCAGCCATTGTTAACAGCATTTGTTCCAGGACGTGCAACAGAGGAATGACGTCGTTCATCCCATAGTCCTGCCGACTCACGAATAGCGTGGCCTCCTCAAAGGGCCTGAGCAAGCGGCAGGTGTCACGCATGAGCTGCCAATGGCTGACATCGAAGTTACACAGGGGAGTACCTTTATCCGCTTGTAACATCAGGAAATCGGTGATGGCCTTTCGCTGTTCGTAAAGGCGGTCTAACATGTGTAGGGTTGAATTCCACCTTGTTGCAACGTCGCAGATCAGGCGATGCTGTGGAATTCCGTTTCTGCCGCTGCAGCTCAAGGAGGGTGTGCTTTGCGGTGTAGGAATGGCTGAAATGCATGCAAAAGTTTACGTGACATTTTAAGGATGTCTTGCAGTGGGATGGTGGATTTTAGGAACCGCTTGACAACCAGATTGAACACGTGAGCCATGCATGGCGCATGGCACAACCTTCCTTGACGCAGAGCAGACACCATGTTCTTTCCGTTGTCGGTCAACATGGTTCCGATTTTCAGTTTGCGCGGAGACAGCCATCTGTCGATTTCTCTGTTCATTACACTCAGAAGTTCCTCCCCTGTGTGACTACGTTCGCCAAGGCATACCAGGTGCAGCACAGCGTGACACCGTTGCGCCCTGCACATGTGATATGCCGGTCGGGTAATGGGGGACTTGGCACGGGGGGGGTGGCGGCTGAGGACACGGCGGAAGAAGGTGGTAGAGGCGGACATCTTTTTGCTGGACCAAGGACGTGCAAACGTGGAGGCAAAAGCGGCGTGACCTGTCCAAGTTGCTGGTGCGGCTGTGCCGGCACCACGTTCACCCAGTGGGCCGTAAATGACATGTACTGTCCCTGACCGTAGTTACAGCTCCACACGTCGGCGCTGCCGTGCACTTTGGCAGAGACCGACATGCTCAAAGACTGGCCCACCATCTCTTCTACATGTGAATGCAGGGCTGGCACTGCCTTTTTGGCGAAGAAATGCCGGCTTGGCACTCTCCACCGCGGCGCGGCACAAGCCATCATTTCTCGGAAAGGTGCTGAGTCCACCACTTGGAAAGGGAGGGACTGCAGCACCAGCAACTTGGACAGGAGGACGTTCAGCTTTTGCACCGTCGGGTGCGTGCTCGCAAACTGTTGTCTCTTGGAAACGGATTCCAAGAAAGACTGCTGACGGAATCCGTGAAGAGAGGAGTAGCAGGAGAAGGAGCATCTGAACGAGCGGAAGATGCCAACGAGCGACAACTCCCCTCAGCAGAGGTGTTGGAGCCTTGACTGGCTGATAGAGGGCGATTGACGTCGGGTGACGGAGCAAGTAACGGAGCGGGTGATGGAGCGGGGGCTGGGGCAGGCAGAACCGCCGTATCTTTATCACGGTTTTCCCAGGCCACCAAATGGCGACGCTGCATATGCTGACGCAACGCTGTAGTCCCAACATGGGCCCCCTGGCCACGCTTGACTTTCTGGCCACATAGTCGACATACGGCTACGTTTACTTCCTCGGGCGGCTTGACGAAAAATTGCCACACCCGCCGAGTAGGAAACTTTGCCCCCGCTACTCCTCACTGGCTGACTGCTACTTCCTCCGTGCACACCGGCACCACTACTGGCCGTGGTGGTAGGCTGCAGTGGAGCTGGTGCTCTACTCCGTGGCCGTTTGCCTCCACTGACACTGCTGCGACCCTGCTGCCTCCTGGGCAACCCACCGACTGTTTTGCTCGCTGCCAAGCTGGCACCCTCTTCTCCTGATGATGCGGAAGAAAATAGCCTGATGACGACGAGGCTGCCAAGTGCATCAGCCTCATCATCATCAATTAGGGTCTCCGCCTCACTACTAGCCCCCCTCGGCTGCGTGTGGGTCAGGAGACAGACCTGTCTCTAGACCGGCTACCGAGCCACTCTCTCCTCGCCAGTACTTCTTCGCCTGGCTGCTGAAGAGGCGGATGTCTCCCCCCGTTCCTGACCGCCCTCTGTTAGCTCTTCCTCACTGTACAGTGGGGCTGAGCCCACAGCATGCGATACTTCGCTTGGTGAGGGGAACACCAAAGGACAGGGGCAGGTAGAGGACACGTGATTTCAGTGGGCTTGCTCCCGGGCCATGCCAACTAACGGTTGTGTCTGACGTACCACCGACCGTTGGCTGTAGGTGTCAGAGGTGACCTGGGAAGAGGAAGACGACCGAGCCAACCAATCGATGACGGCAGGGTTGTCGGTGGAGACACGACCGCTGGATGACACCGGGAGCACTGGCCTCTGGCTGCGACTAGTGCTGCCTCGACCCCCTTCCTCTGCTGCCACGTCTGCTCGCTCCTAAAACATTGCCTCCTCTGCCACTCCTCTGCGTGTTGTCTGACATACTCTTTAATTCAACGATTCTGTGTCCCTGAGTAACAATTCTGTGTCCCTGAGTAACAATTCTGTGTCCCTGAGTAACAATTCTGTGTCCCTGAGTAACAATTCTGTGTCCCTGTAACAATTCTGTGTCCCTGAGTAACAATTCTGTGTCCCTGAGTAACAATTCTGTGTCCCTCAGTAACAATTCTGTGTCCCTCAGTAACAATTCTGTGTCCCTCTGAGTAACAATTCTGTGTGTCCCTGAGTAACAATTCTGTGTCCCTGAGTCCCTGTGTCCCTGAGTAACAATTCTGTGTCCCTCTGAGTAACAATTCTTCTCTGTGTCCCTCAGTAACAATTCTGTGTCCTGAGTAACAATTCTGTGTCCCTCAGTAACAATTCTGTGTCTGTCCCTGAGTAACAATTCTGTGTCCCTGAGTAACAATTCTGTGTCCCTCAGTAACAATTCTGTCCCTCAGTAACAATTGTCCCTGTGTCTGTGTCCCTGAGTAACAATTCTGTGTCCCTGAGTAACAATTCTGTGTCCCTGAGTAACAATTCTGTGTCCCCTGAGTAACAATTCTGTGTCCCTGAGTAACAATTCTGTGTGTCCCTCAGTAACAATTCTGTGTCCCTCAGTAACAATTCTGTGTCCCCTGAGTAACAATTCTGTGTCTGTCCCTGAGTAACAATTTCTGTGTCCCTGAGTAACAATTCTGTGTCCCTCAGTAACAATTCTGTGTGTCCCTCAGTAACAATTCTGTGTGTCCCTCAGTAACAATTCTGTGTCTGTGTCCCTGAGTAACAATTCTGTGTCCCTGAGTAACAATTCTGTGTCCCTGAGTAAAATTCTGTGTCCCTCAGTAACAATTCTGTGTCCCTCAGTAACAATTCTGTGTCCCTCAGTAACAATTCTGTGTCCCTGAGTAACAATTCTGTGTCCCTCAGTAACAATTCTGTCTGTGTCCTCAGTAACAATTCTGTGTGTCTGAGTAACAATTCTGTGTCCCTGAGTAACAATTCTGTGTCCCTCAGTAACAATTCTGTCCCTCAGTAACAATTCTGTGTCCCTGAGTAACAATTCTGTGTCCCTCAGTAACAATTCTGTGTCCCTGAGTAACAATTCTGTGTCCCTGAGTAACAATTCTGTGTCCCTCTGAGTAAACAATTCTGTGTGTCCTCAGTAACAATTCTGTGTCCCTGAGTAACAATTCTGTGTCCCTCAGTAACAATCTGTGTCCCTGAGTAACAATTCTGTGTCCCTGAGTAACAATTCTGTGTCCCTCAGTAACAATTCTGTGTAACAATTCTGTGTCCCTCAGTAACAATTCTGTGTCCCTCAGTAACAATTCTGTGTCTGTCCCTGAGTAACAATTCTGTGTCCCTCAGTAACAATTCTGTGTCCCTCAGTAACAATTCTGTGTCCCTCAGTAACAATCTGTGTCCCTGAGTAACAATTCTGTGTCTGTCCCCTGAGTAACAATTCTGTGTCCCTGAGTAACAATTCTGTGTGTCCCTGAGTAAACAATTCTGTCCCTCAGTAACAATTCTGTGTCCCAGTAACAATTCTGTGTCCCTCAGTAACAATTCTGTGTGTCCCTCAGTAACAATTCTGTGTCCCTGAGTAACAATTCTGTGTCCCTGAGTAACAATTCTGTGTCCCTCAGTAACAATTCTGTGTGTCCCTCAGTAACAATTCTGTGTCCCTGAGTAACAATTCTGTGTCCCTCAGTAACAATTCTGTTCTGTGTCCTGTCAGTAACAATTCTGTGTGTCCCTCAGTAACAATTCTGTGTCCTGTCCCTGAGTAACAATTCTGTGTCCCCTGAGTAACAATTCTGTGTCCCTCAGTAACAATTCTGTGTCCCTCAGTAACAATTCTGTGTCCCTCAGTAACAATTCTGTGTCTGTCCCTGAGTAACAATTCTGTGTCCCTCAGTAACAATTCTGTGTCCCTGAGTAACAATTCTGTGTCCCTCAGTAACAATTTCTGTGTCCCTCAGTACAATTCTGTGTGTCCCTGAGTAACAATTCTGTGTCTGTCCCTGAGTAACAATTCTGTGTCCCTGAGTAACAATTCTGTGTCCCTCAGTAACAATTCTGTGTGTCCCTCAGTAACAATTCTGTGTCTGTCCCTGAGTAACAATTCTGTGTCCCTGAGTAACAATTCTGTGTCTGTCCCTGAGTAACAATTCTGTGTCCCCTGAGTAACAATTCTCCCCAGTAACAATTCTGTGTCCCTCAGTAACAATTCTGTGTCTGTCCCTGAGTAACAATTCTGTGTCTGTCCCTGAGTAACAATTCTGTGTCTGTCCCTGAGTAACAATTCTGTGTCTGTCCCTCAGTAACAATTCTGTGTCCCTCAGTAACAATTCTGTGTCTGTCCCTGAGTAACAATTCTGTGTCTGTCCCTGAGTAATAATTCTGTGTCTGTCCCTGAGTAACAATTCTGTGTCTGTCCCTGAGTAACATCCCTAAGTAACGATTCTGTGGCCCTAAGTAACGATTCTGTGGCCCTAAGTAACGGTTCTGTGTCCCTAAGTAACGGTTCTGTGTCCCTAAGTAACGATTCTGTTACACAGACAGGTCTGCCTCTCTTGAATGACTGGAGGCTAATGGAGAATTCTAAAATGGCCGCAATTTATAGCTCGACCATTACACAGTGCTGGCTGGCTGGCTGCTGATTGGCTAATGCGATCACATGTCATGAATGAATGCATTATGGGTCAGCGCGCCTTGTCTGCGCGCCTTCCCAGAGATCCCCGCTCCGTCGCCACACATGTCGCCGCCATTTTAGTAAAAATTTCGATTCGCGCATCCGAAGTCTGCTAATTTTCGGATTCGGTGCGAATCGAAATTTTCCTAATATTCGAAACGAATTCCACTTCGCCAAGTTCGATTCGCTCATCTCTATTCGTGATCCAGCCTGATGACCGGATCCAGCCTGATGACCGATCCAGCCTGATGACCCGGTGTTCGTGATCCAGCCTGATGACCCGATCCAGCCTGATGACCCGATCCAGCCTGATGCCCCGGAGCCCGCTGTTCTGCCAGATGACTTGGTGCCCACTGTCGTGCCCGCTGTCGTGCCAGATGACTCGGTGCCCGCTGTCGAGTTTGGTGACTAGGTGCTTGCTGTTCTGCCAGATGACTCAGTGCCCGCTGTCGTGCCAGATGACTTGGTGCCCGCTGTCGTGCCAGATGACTTGATGCCCGCTGTTGAGTTTTGGTGACTCGGTGCCCGCTGTCGTGCCAGATGACTTGGTGCCCGCTGTCGTGCCAGATGACTTGGTGCCCGCTGTCGTGCCAGATGACTCAGTGCCCGCTGTCGTGCCAGATGACTCGGTGCCCGCTGTCGAGTTTGGTGACTAGTGCTGCCCGCTGTCGTCGTGCCAGATGACTCGGTGCCCGCTGTCGAGTTTGGTGACTAGGTGCTTGCTGTTCTGCCAGATGACTCAGTGCCCGCTGTCGTGCCAGATGACTTGGTGCCCGCTGTCGTGCCAGATGACTTGATGCCCGCTGTTGAGTTTGGTGACTCGGTGCCCGCTGTCGTGCCAGATGACTTAGTGCCCGCTGTCGTGCCAGATGACTTGGTGCCCGCTGTCGTGCCAGATGACTCAGTGCCCGCTGTCGTGCCAGATGACTCGGTGCCCGCTGTCGAGTTTGGTGACTAGTGCCCGCTGTCGTGCCAGATGACTCGGTGCCTGCTGTCGAGTTTGGTGACTCGGTGCCCGCTGTTCTGCCAGATGACTCAGTGCCCGCTGTTGTGCCAGATGACTCGGTGCCCGCTGTCGTGCCAGATGACTCGATGCCCGCTGTCGAGTTTGGTGACTCGGTGCCAGCTGTAGTGCCAGATGACTCGGTGCCCACTGTCGTGCCAGGTGACTCGGTGCCCGCTGTCGAGAGTTTGGTGTCTTGTGCCCGCTGTTCTGCCAGATGACTTGGTGCCCGCTGTCGTGCCAGATGACTCGGTGCCCGCTGTCGTGCCAGATGACTCGGTGCCTGCTGTCGTGCCAGATGACTCGATGCCCGCTGTTGAGTTTGGTGACTCGGTGCCCGCTGTTCTGCCAGATGACTCGGTGCCCGCTGTCATGCCAGATGACTCAATGCCCGCTGTCGTGCCAGATGACTCGGTGCCCGCTGTCGTGCCAGATTACCCGGGGCCCGCTCTCGTGCCAGATGACTTGGTGCCCGCTGTTGAGTTTGGTGACTCGGTGCCCGCTGTTCAGCCAGATAACTCGGTGCCCGCTGTACTGCCGGATGACTCGGTGCCCGCTGTTCTGCCAGATGACTCGGTGCCCGCTGTCGTGCCAGATGACTCGGTGCCCACTGTCGTGCCAGATGACTCGGTGCCCGCTGTCGTGCCAGATGACTCGGTGCCCACTGTCGTGCCAGATGACTCGGTGCCAGATGACTCGGTGCCTGCTGTCGAGCTTGGTGACCCGGTGCCCGCTGTCGTGCCAGATGACTCGGTGCCCGCTGTCGAGCTTGGTGACCCAGTGCCCGCTGTCGTGCCAGATGACTCGGTGCCCGCTGTCGTGCCAGATGACTCGGTGCCCGCTGTCGTGCCTGATGGCCCGGTGCCCGCTGCCTCACCTGACGTGCCTCTGCCCACTGCCTCGCCTGACGTGCCTTTGCCCGCTGCCCAGCCTAACGTGCCTCTGCCCGCTGCCCAGCCTGACGTGCCTGTGCCCGCTGCCCAGCCTGACGTGCCTGTGCCCGCTGCCCAGCCTGACATGCCTGTGCCCGCTGCCCAGCCTGCTTCTGGAAATCCTGTGTCTGGCAACCTGCCTTCCTGCGGTCTTCTGCAAAAAGATAGGCCTATCAGCAGGAGACCCAGCCAATCGCTTGATTCCGGCAGTGGGATGTCCAACCAGTTGCCGGACCCAGGCGGTGGAACATTTGGGCCATTACGGACTGTTTGGAGCGTCCTAAGGCCGCTCCTTGAGGGGTGGCGTACTGTCAGGAATGGACTCGCCAATGGTGGTGGGACTCACCTGCCTTGTGGGCTGCAGTATCAAGGCTGGCCAGCGGGTGCTCTCAGCAGCCAGAATCTCACTCTTGCAATCAGGCCATCACCTGAGGCTGATTGCAGGAGGTGTATTTAAGCAGGACCAGGCCTGTGATCAGTGCCTTGGTTTTGTTTCCCATGAGCCCCTGTACCTTGTATCCTGTGTTCCTGTTCCTCTGCCTATCTGATTTGTTGCTGACCCTGCCTGATCCTGACCTCTGCTGACTTCTCCTGCTCTGACTCCTGGCTTGTCCCTGACTATTCTTCTGCCTACTCCTATGCTGTTTGCCCTCCTGTTGCTGTACCGTGGCTCGTGACCCGTTTACTCTTTGCCTGCTGCTTTGTACTGATCTGCCTCCACCGTTACCGACCCGGCTTGTCTGACTACGCTACACTCCAAACTGTCATCCATCCATCCCGCACGGATCCAGTCACTACTGTCCGAACCTGCCAGCCCCTTCACATCAGGTTTTCCCCCGGTACATACCCTCAGCGGACCCCTCTACCACAGTTGGGTGCACTCAGGGGCCGCAACCTGGTCTCAGTCCTGCGCCAAGTCCATCCCCACCATCAGGGGCTCTGGTGAAAAGGCAGACTGGGGCTTAGACTCCGCGCCCTGGGGAATCCTGTTCTGTGGGTCACTAGAGATCCCGCCGGGTGGTGCTTGACAGTACCTTACAGCCTGCCTGACCATTCCACCTCTCCAGCCTGACTACGCCTGTGTTCCAGAAGCCTGCTGTTTCCCTGTGTCAGTCCACACATCTCTGGTCATACCCGGATTCCTGACACTCTGATTAGGGAGGAATTGGCAGGCGGAACCCAAAATCAGAACCAGCATCTTTCATAATTCATATTCTGGCCTATAACTTTCCAGCTGCACAAGCGACAAACTTTCTGCGGGTATTTTATTCGGCACATAAGTCTAAGGATCATTTAGAGATGAATTATGAAATTGTAAGTTACACGGTGTACGAGTTCTATGTTTTGGCTTCCCTGAGCGTGCAAAACTAGTGGAGTGACCTACTAAAGGATTCTCCGGCTCACCGCCCATCCGATGATAAGTCTGGTTTTTATGTATGTCTCTCATATTCCAAGATATGAAACATAGGGGAAAACTGGATCTTTTAAAAATGTTATCTGGTTTGTGCTTCTGGGGAATGCCTTGAACTCTTGAGAAAGCTCTGTTATCTTTCCCCGAGGTGTGAAGTTACACAGGTTCTTTGGACAGAGAGTCTCTGTGGGGGGGCTTTGTAGCTCTGAGTCCCCTGCTGCTCTACCTGCCAGTGACTTTTAACACAAACACATCTGTCACTGTGCCTCTCACCAAGGGTGAGGGAAGGAGGATAAAGGATTACTTTTAATAAAAAGGGGGACTTTGCGTCCATCTCTGATGAGCAAGTTTGCTACAACAACCCCTTGGCATACTTAGAATTGTTTCTGACCGATGAGGTTATTGAAATAATTGTGACGAAGACAAACAGGTAAGCAGCGCAACAATTAGCTGCTCCATACAGCAGGTTTTCACGAAGCAGAAAGTGGGAACCTGTGACCAAATAGGACATTTGGCTGTTTGTTGGACTAATTATTCTTCAATTAGTGGTGGGAAATCCTCTGCAGAAGTGATATTGGACCACCAACAAAATGCTTGCCACGCAGTTCTTTGGCACAGTCATGTCGGAGTACTGTTTTTCACTCATCATGAAATTTTTGCACTTCGCAACCACTGACAATTTTGACGAATCGACTCATCCGGCTCCCAAATTAAAAAATATTTGGTAAGTCTCCTAAATAATTCTCAGGAATTTCCAGCATAGCTATGTGCCACAGAGAGACATCAGTATAGACAAGTGTCTAATGGCCTACAAGGGAAGGCTCAGCTGGGTACAGTACATCGCATCCAAGAGAGCACTATTTGGTGTCAAATCCTACCTGCTGTGCGAATCCTCTGCTGGCTACATCTAGAACACAATTAGTTACACAAAGGAACAAAATTTGATCCAAAGTACAGCAACTATGGAATGGCAGCATCTTCCATCCTGTCGCTAATTGAGCCTCTGCTAAACCAAGGCTACTGTGTAACAACGGAAAATTTCTACACCTCTCCAGAACTTTACAAGGTTCTTCTGCAGCACAAAACCTGTCATCAATGTTTGGAAAAAGCAAACTGAAGTCTGGAGAAATAGTTGTCTGGCAGAAAGGCAAAATGATGGCACCGAGATGGCGATACAAGAAGGATATGTGCCTAATGAGTATCAGAATGCAAGTGTATAGTCCAAACGCACACGTTCCTGCGTAAAAATGGCTGTGTGTATAAGTGGGTGCTGCAGCGACCGTCGGCTGGAACCGAACAAAATCAGCAAGGAAAAATGTCACCAATATGGGTCCAAAGGTTTTAATGAACGATCACATAGTTACAGCAAGGCAACGTTTCGGAGTCTCGCAGGACCCCTTCATCAGGCATGTGACCACAAGGGGTCCTGCGAGACTCTGAAACATTGCTTTGCTGTAACTATGTGATGATTCATTAAAACCTTTGAACCCATATTGGTGATCCTTGGTGTGCTGGTGATATTTTTCCTTCCTAATGAGTACCATTCACAATGCCTCCACAGTGATGGTACAATCAAAAGGTGGGAAAAACATTCAGAAGCCTCAGGTAGTTATTGACTACAAAAACACCATGGGAGGTGTCGAAAGAGCTGACAAAGCTATGACTTTCTATCCATCAATGAGAAAGCAGCAGAGGAAATACTACAAAAAGATTTTCCAGCATCTTCTAGAACAGTGCTTGTAGAATGCCTACATTCTGTTCCACAAAAATAGTGACAAGCCTGTGCTTCATGCAGACTTTATTTGGAAAGTTGTGGAATTCGTCTTCCTGAAACACCAAACACCATCAATGTCTGTAGGTAGATCCGGACGATGTGCTGTGGGAGTTGTCAACCCAGAAGGCCTGACTGGACGTCACTTTACTTTTACATCCCACCAACCCAAAAAAAAAAGGCAGCACCTACATGGATGTGCATGGTATGTTGCTCTCGTCGAGATGAGTGTGGAAAAAAAATCTGCAAAGAAACGAGGTTCCACTGTCCTGATTGTGATGTCGGACTTTGTGCAGTCCCGTGTTTTACGATATACCACACCTGGAATGTTTTCTAGAACAAAATGCAGTGTCTATATAATATTGCACCCTTGTTTGGACAGAGTTCAGTGTGTTTGATTTGATTATATTATTTAATTTATTATTATATTATTATTATATTATTATTTTTTATAATTATTTATTATATTATAATTTATGATTTAATGTATTCAACATTATCGTACCCAGGATGTCTACTATACTCTTGTTTAAACAGATTTCAGTGAGTTATTCCTAAGAATTATAGGCCTACAATAAAAAAAAACATATTTCCATTGACAACAATGTACCGCTTTGAGCACAGAAATACTGACATAATCATACCGCTATATTTTTTTATCCTTTAAGCAATTTTTAATAATGTTATGTGTTTCATTTTATAGGTTTTATTAAAATATTATATAGTCACTATAATATACAGATGTTAAATAAATGTAAAGTCTAGACATCAATCAGATCACCATTAGCATAGTCATAATATCAGCACACCCCAGATGTTATGTACTGTTAAATCCACCTAATAATACCACACATGGGTGAATAAAGTATATGGGAGTACAGCTGGAGGAAGACCACAGTTAAAACCCCAGCAACAACTATATACAGTCAGGTCCATAAATATTGGGACAACGACACAATTCTAAAATTTTTGGCTCTATACACCACCACAATGGATTTGAAATGAAACGAACAAGACGTGCTTTAACTGCAGACTGTCAGCTTTAATTTGAGGGTATTTACATCCAAATCAGGTGAACGGTGTAGGACAACAGTTTGCATATGTGCCTCCCACTTGTTAACCTCCCTGGTGGTATTCCCGAGAGTAGCTCAGGGTAAAATTTCAGTACCAAGAGCGGTAACCCCGAGCTACACTCGGGCTTACCATGTGGCGTTGCTCAGGGAGTCCCTGCAGTGCTTACCTTGTCCTTCGCTCCCGCGATGTGTCCCCTGCAGCGTCCCCGGCCATCTCCTCCGGCCGATGCCGGCATCCAGCTTCCGTG